CCCCCCCCCCCCCCCCACCAGACTTGAGAAAGTGGCGGGGGCTCAGCGTCGGGGCCCATCAGTCAGGCCCCCGACGCCGCGGCGTGGCAGGCGGGGGCCGCAAATCCCGGTCATAAGCCCCCGCTTAAGCGCCGGCTCCCCCCCCCCCCCCCCCCCCCCCCCCGCCACTAATAGGATTTAGAGCTCAGAGGAATGCTGGAAACTGGAAATGAAAAAGGGGAAATGCCAAGATGATGAATCAGTGAGACGGTGAGGTAGCTGACTCAGCTCAGGAGAAGTGCTTTTTAAAAAGCTGGTTTATTAGTTAGGGTTAGGTTCAGGGTTATGGTGAGGGTTATAGTTGGGGTCAGGTTTAGGGTCAGGGTTAAGGTTAGGGTCAGGTTTAAGGTCAGGGTTAAGGTTAGGGTCAGGTTCAGGGTTATGGTTAGGGTTAGGGTTATGGTATGGGTCAGGTTTAGGGTCAGGGTTAAGGTTAGGGTCAGGTTCAGGGTTATGGTTATGGTTAAGTTCAGGGTTATGGTTAGGGGTCAGGTTTCAGGTCAGGGTTATGGTTCGGGTCAGGTTTAGGTTCAGGGTTATTGTTCGGGTCAGGTTTAAGTTCAGGGTTATGGTTAGGGTCAGGGTTATAGTTAGGGTCAGGTTTAGGTTCAGGGTTATGGTTAGGGTCAGGGTTATAGTTAGGGTTATGGTTAGGGTCAGGGTTATAGTTAAGGTTATGGTTAGGGTCAGGATTATAGGTAGGGTTATGGTTAGGGTCAGGGTTATGATTAGGTTCAGGGTTAGGGTCAGGGTTATGGGTAGGTTCAGGGTCAGGGTTATAGTTAGGGTTATGGTTAGGGTCAGGATTATATTTAGGGTTTTGGTTAGGTTCAGGGTTATAGTTAGGGTCAGGTTTAGGTTCAGAATTATGGTTAGGGTCAGGGTTATGGGTAGGGATGTCCCAATACAGCTTTTTGCACTTCCAATCCGATACTGGCCTATCAGAGCATGTACTAAAGTTTAAAGTTATTTAGCCTACTTACTTAGTTGTCAGACTAATGTTGAACAGGGATTTACTCTTATAACACCTTAATAGTTAGGACACAGACCTGTGGGTTAGGAGATGCTGATGCTCGTCTGGGATCAGACTTTTTTTTCAAAAATGGATCAGGACAGGCTTTATATCTGGGTCTCTCCTGACCGTGGACTGCGTTTCCTCCCACAGGGGTCTCGGTCAGGTGTTAACAGACTACGTCCACGGGGACACGAAGATCAAGATGGCCAACGCCGGCCTGTTCCTCCTGTCCACGGTCACCTTCGCCGGCCTGTGCTACTTCAACTACAACGACGTGGGCATCTGCAAAGCCGTGGCCCTGCTCTGGAGCAAATAAGGGGACTTTTGGACTGGGAGGCTCAGGAAAAAAAACCCACACACACACCCACAGTGGGCGGAATCTTGTCCAGGCTGATTGTAAAAAATTCAAAGTCGTTGTATGTAAATTCTTATAAATATATCATTTTGACGATATTAAACCGATGTATGTACTGTGTCGAATTGTGACGAAAGCTGTGGTTGACTTAGTATTCCCATGATTTAAAACTGTGGTTGAGTAGCTTTCCGTTTTTCCGAATAAAACCCAGCATGTGTGGCACGCGTCCAGAGCACCGCTACGGTTCTGATCCAGTCTTACAGACCGCCGCCGTTTGACATGGACTTTTTTTTTTTTTTTTCTTTCTTTCGGTCAGCGTGTTCTTACTGTTCGGCTTTCTGCTTGTAAGCCCCTGAGTGGCGGCGCTGCGCCACAGGCTTCAGAAGCTCTTCTCAATAAACCCTGTTAACAAGTCAGTCGCGAGGTCCACTTCATGGTTCTCTCACCGTCTCCTAAAAGTCAGAGGTGGTACGGCAAGCGGAATACACCCGACGCGAGAGTTTCTATCGATGGCAGAACTGGTCGTCGTCTTTTATGCAGCCGGTTCTCAACGTAATTATTATCTTTGCTCTGATCTGAGGTGTTTGGCGTTTTGTTATTTAGAGCAGTAGGTAATGAGCGATAGGAAAACCAGTGGGATTGAAAGCAAAGATGTTTTAATAACGCAGACAGGAAAAATCAAGCAGAATATTTACAGTGACAAGTGGACAAATGCATAGTTAAAAAAGTTTTTAAAAAATTGCAGGAATATTCTCTCTGGCAAGTATGAATGATCAGCTGTTACTAAATGAATAACTGGCCAGGGAAAAGGATAAATGTAGCTTAGAACTTTGACATGACACAAATGTTGGAGGAGGGAATTTAAAATAAGAAAACATTATTATTATTATTTTTTTTTTTAAATCCACCCTTTTTTTTTTCAAGTCTGAGTCAGCAAAGTAACAGCGGATTCGTCCACGGTGTCCTCCTGAGGACGCAGGGTCAGCTTCCACACGCCCGGCAGACTGCCCTC